TTTCTTTCTATTTTTAGTAGAGACAGGGGTCTCGCTCTTGCTGAGGCTGGTCTCGAACTCCTGAGCTCAAACGATCCACCCGCCTCGGCCTCCCAGAGTGCTAGGATTACAGGTGTGAGCCACTGCGCCAGGCCCAGAATCTTAAATATTATCTATCTTAAAACATTTTCCTAATACCTGTTTTGTTACAACGTTTAACCCCAAAACAGTATTTTAAGAAAAAAAAATCAAATTAATTGCATCTTGGCTTCTTAGTGCTAATAAAACAAAATAAAAAAACATGTATTTTTTAAGAAACATGGTTATGTGGTCAATAAATTTCATGGTAACAGTATGGTTGAGTTTTAAATCTTGGATAATACATATTCAGCTTTACTTTGGTATTACCCAAATTCATGTTTGAGTGGGGAAGAAAAACCAAGCCACATTACAATTAAAATTTTGAGAAAAACCTTTGACAGGTCAGAAATTAGTTTATATTTTGTTTTACATCCACCATTTTAACAGGAAGGAGACTCTAATTGAAGGCCTGGTTGTTTCATTAGCATATTCATGTAATAAGCACAGCTTAAGTCTGAAACATCCTAAGCAGATCTATTACGTTTTTTCATTTTCAAAAACATCTTAGAACTAAACACCAAGTCTCTTTTAGAGAAATGAAAGCAGCTTGATTTATCAGAGCTTGGTAGATTACACGTTTTCTTGGAATCAACACTGTTTCCCCTCTCCATCCCCCATTTCTTGTAGCTCTAACAACTAAAACCAACTAAAAACTGATTTCCATGTTAAGCACGCTTTTGTGCAGCAATCTAAAAAAGACTCTTCTACAGCTAAGGGATGAAATATTTCACTGGAATTTAAAAATTCCTTTTTGATTTCTATAAAAGTTTTCCACTTGTAAGTGGTTAAATGATTTTGTAAACCAATAAAGATTGCCACATTTAAAATCTTTCTAAGTCTGCCTTCTTCCTAAGCTTTTGGTATCCAGAAAAACTGATGTAACTCACTCTAAATTACCAATGATGAGGAAAAAGAACGTGGCTAATTGAGTATTTTAAAGGGATCATTGATCTTAAATTTCAGTTTGTTCTCATATCAAATTTTAAGTGTATGAAACAAAATTGCAGTAACTATAATGCAAACACCTGCAAAACCACTCAGGTCAAAAAACACAATGCTGTGCCCTTCCAGAGGCCCTTATTTGCCCCCTCCCCATCAGCACCCCATGTCCCTAAGCAAAGACAACCACTCTCCTGACTTATACAATCACTTTCTTGGTTTTTTTTTTCCTTCTTCGTCAGCCGAAACAGAAGATATGATTTACTGTATACTTGTTACACTTGGCCACAACTGAGAACAGAACCAGTCCAGAATGTCAGGTCCAGGGCAAAGGACCAATAGGGACTGTTTTGGTATGAGCAAGACGGGTCTCTTAGAGGTGGTCTTGGCGATTGGATGGTGATGAAGTTCTAGATCCATTCAGAGGCAAGTTCTAGACAGTTGCATGCAGTCCAACAAGTTGTACCAGCATCCCCAGACTCTGGCATTCCATGTTTTTGCTCTTGTGGCCTTCGCATGTGCAAAAGGCAAGCTGTTTACTTGGACCTCTGCCTCGTCTTTCTTCTTTTGCGCTTCAGCCTGCACATCCACTTCTTCCTCCACTTCGCCCTTATGGTGCAGAGGTTTCTAGAAAGATGGTGCCAAGGCAGAGAACTTTCTCATTTTTTTATAGTTGCCCCATGACTGCATCCCCAAACAATACAGGTTTTTTTTTCTCTGAGTCATGGTCTCACTCTGTCGTCTCATCTGGATGCAACCTCAAACTCCTGGGCTCAAGGGATTCTTCTGCCTCAGCCTCCCAAAGTGCTGGGATCACAGGTGTGAGCCACTGCACCTGGCCAATATCATGTTCTTAGTCTTCATATGAATGGGAAAAAATTGTGTATCCTTTTTGTGTCAATTCTTTTACTTAGTGTTTCAAGATTCCATTTATGTTATTTTGTGTAGCTGGAGTTCATTTTCACTGCTGGGTTGTTCCAGTTTGGGGCTATTATTAACACTTTTTTTTTTTCCGTTTTCTTTCCTGCTGGCACCTTGATCTTGGATATTATGAACATTCTTGTATACATATTGCAGCACAATGTGCACAAGCATCCCTAGAGTATGCACCTAGAGTAGAGCTGCTGGGTTGTATGCATATTTTCAACTTCACTAGATAATCTTACACCCACCAGCAGTGTTGTTCCACATACTCACCAACAGTTGGCATTGCTACCCTTGAAATGCTTCTCAGTGTGGCAGGAGGCTAAGTAGGGGATAGCCTGGCATGGTTTTCATTTTTCTCACCGGTGATTGAAGACCTTCATGTTCATGGACCACTTAGATTTCCTCTTTTATTATTATTTATTTTTGGATAGCATTAATGGCAAGATTTCCTCGAGAGAAGCATCTGAACTTTTTTTTTTTTTAAAACAGCTTTATTAATTTCCATACCATCTGATTCGTTCATCTGTGTACAGTTCAATGATTTTTAGTATATTCACAGATATGTACAACCATCACCAATTTTAGAACTTCCATCTCACAAAGAAACACTGTACCCTTTAACTTTCACACCCCCAATACCCCGGCCCATAGTCCTAAACTACTAGTCTACTTTGTCTCTATAGATTTCCCTATTCTGAACTTTCATTTGAATGTAATTGTATCATGTGCAGACTCCTGTGACCAGCTTCTTTCGTTTAGCACGTTTTCAAGATTCATCCAAGCTGTACCATGTATCAGCACTTCATTCCTTTTATGGCAGAATAATAGTCCATTGCATGGGTATGTCGTATTTTGTTTATACATTCACCTGTTAATAGACATTTGGGTTGTTTCCTCCTTTTGGCTATTATGAATAATCCTGCTATAAACATGTGTACAAGTTTTGTGGAAATACATTTTTATTCCTCTTGGATATGGTAACTGTATGTTTGTTTGAGGAACTGCCAGACTGTTTTCCAGAGCAGCTGCACCATGTTACATTCCCACCGGCAGTGCACCAGAGTTCCACTTTCTCTGCTTCCTCCACAATACTTACCATCTAACTTTAACTGCTGGTGTGAAGTGGTAGCTCATTGTGGTTCTGACTTGCATTTCCTTGATCTGTATCTTTTCATGCACTTCTTGTCCATTTGTATGCCTCTTGGAAAAATGTCTATTAAGATTCTTTGCCTGTTTGTAATTGGCTTGTCTTTTGTTACTCAGTTACATGGAGATAAAGTGATCCTTTTTCTTAATGATTTTATAGGGATTCTTTATTCTGGATATTAATCCTTTGAATTTTTTTTTCTTTTTAAAGAAATGCAAAATTGCCATGTTGCTCAGGCTGGACTTGAACTCCTGGGCTCAAATGATCCTCCTGCCTCAGTCTCCCCAGCAGCTGGTACTACAGACATGTACCACCACACCCAGCTCTTTGATATTTTATGTGGTGCTAGTATGTTCTTCCTTTATGGATCATGTCTTTTCACTTTGTAGTGGCTTTTAATGAAAAGAAGTTCTTAATTTCAATATATAGATAAATATGTCAAACTTTATGAATGGTGTTTTTTGTGACTTAGGAAGTTTTTCCCAAAGCTAAGGACGTAAAAATCTTTTCTCTATTATCTTCTACAGGATTATAAAACTAAACACTAAAAGTCTGATAATTGTGCCTTACACATTTGGTCTAAAATTCACTGGTGTTGATTTTTATATAAGGCGTAGGAATCTAATTTCATTTGTTCCTGTATGAACACACCACCATCCCACTGCATTTATTGAAAAGCCTGTCCTTTTCCCCTCACATTGTGCAGGATCAGCAACTAACCCTTAACCCCTCCATCTCTTTCTTGTAAGATAAAAGTAGTAGATTAGGCCGGGCGTGGTGGCTCACCCCTGTAATCCTAGCTCTCTGGGAGGCCGAGGCGGGCGGATTGTTTGAGCTCAGGAGTTCGAAACCAGCCTGAGCAAGAGCGAGACCCCCGTCTCTACTAAAAATAGAAAGAAATTAATTGGACAACTAAAAATATATAGAAAAAATTAGCCGGGCATGGTGGCACATGCCTGTAGTCCCAGCTACTCGGGAGGCTGAGGCAGGAGGATCGCTTGAGCCCAGGAGTTTGAGGTTGCTGTGAGCTAGGCTGACGCCACGGCACTCTAGCCAGGGCAACACAGTGAGACTCCGTCTCAAAAAAAAAAAAAGTAGTAGATTAAATCAGGGTTCCGGATCTGAAATGTTTTGTTAAAATCCGGATGTCTAAGTCTCATGACAGACTAGGGGTTAGAGATTGGCAGAGGCGACACAGGCTCACACTAGGACTCTGGATTTATAAGTTCCTTGGCTAATGCATATGCAGCCAACCTGGCTCCTGTCAACAGATGGACACTCTGGGGATACTGGCAATGATCTCCACAGTGATCCCAGCTTTGTAAGATCCTTTATTTTTACAAGATCTCTGGGCTGTTTCTTCCATACCATTTGG